AAAATCTAAAATCCAGCCTAAATTGCGGGCCGAATGGTTTACTGAACAGTCATAAACTGTCATTGTGATGGAAACGCAGCGGAGTGCAGTGATGACAGCTCGGTGCAGGCCACATTGCAAGGCCTGGCGAGACGGATTTGGCCCTCGGGCCTTGTGTTTGACACATGTGCCCTAATATGTTAAGCTCGCCCTTGCCTTAAGACCTTTGTATTGGTTCTTACACCTTTCCTTTTGATCTTCCTAGTCCTTGCCCTCTCTCTTCTTGAAGTTCTTTATTGAAATATTACCTCTACAGAGAGCCCTTCCTGGCCATGTAAACCTGTGTTAGTCTCTATCCCTTTTTCTTAATTTTATTTCCCTAACATTATAATGTGTGGTTTACCTGTTCACTGTTTCTCCCACCAGAATATGATCTATTGTATGTGAGATCTAAGACCCAGTGTGCCTTAGTTATTACTGTGTCTCCAATGCTACAATATGTCTAACACATAGTTGGAGCTGAGCATATATTTGTTGAATGAATAAATATCTTCTAACCCTTACCAATGGCCGGCTTGTATTAAGAATGATAAGTCCCACCGAAACCGGTTTGGCTCAATGGATAGAGCGTCAGCTTGGGGACTGAAAGGTCCTGGGTTCGATTCTGGTCAAGGGCATGTACCTTGGTTGCGGGCATATCCCCAGAAGGGGGTGTGCAAGAGGCAGCTGATCAAGGACTCTCTCTCATCGATGTTTCTAACTCTCTATCTCTCTCCCTTCCTCTCTGTACAAAATCAATAATGAGTCCCAAGGAGAAACCAAGATGGTGGCATAAGTAAACATCTGAACTTGCTGTCTCACACAACCACATCAAAACTACAACTAAAAGATAAAACGGATATCATCCAGAACCATGGGAAGGCTGGCTGAGAGGAAGTTCTTCAACCAGAAGGAAAGAGAAAAGTACATCTAGACTGGTAAGAGGTGCAGAGGTGCAGAATAGCGAAGGTACAGAGGCACACGAGAAAACGGGCTGGCAACTGGGTACACTGTGGTCTTTTTCAATCGGGAGGAAGATGCAAACTCCCAACTGCTCTGAATTCCAGTACCGGGCAAGACTCTAGGGACCAAGATCCATATAGGGATAAACTGGACTGTCTGGCATCATGTCAGAACATGAGGGTAGCTTTCTTTTAGAAGTGGTTGCTGTGTTCATTGTTCCTGCACCGAGCTGTGGGACACAGAGACCCAGGGACTTATCATGGCAGGGCCAAAGGGCAACAATTGCTGTTTGTACCACCCTGTGATTCCCTGAGACCATACCCCTCCCAATTTACAACCCCACCCAAGCTGTGTACAGAGGCATTTGCATATGAATGGCCTGGTCTTTTGCAATCTAATCTAACAAAGTGCACCTGGGTCAAAGAACCCTAAAGCTTCCAAAAGAAGGCCTAAGGCTCAGCAGTCTGCATTCCTTTACAGCTGCTTCTCATCTGGGCACCACCAAACCTTAAACTAAGAAGAAGAATCTGAAGTTCTTTCTATAAATCCTGCTGGGTGACTTCAGGCAGGGGTTGACTTTGCACCTCCTTGAAGATCCAAGAGCCAGTGCACCCAGTGGTCAAAGTGAGACCACACCAGATTACAACTCTTCAAATCCACAAAAGACACACTCAGGGGGCAGACTCAGTGAGCACCAAAGCCCCACTGAAGTAAGTCCTGCCCCATAAGGGTGTTTCCAGCCCAGCAGTTCTCCCATTGTAGACACAACTGGATCTCACAGCCAATTGATCTGGAGGTCAATTCTGCCCAGTGATACCAACAGCAATTCAGGCTTAACTACCACAAGACTGTGCACACAACTCACAAAGGGATGCACCAAGAGCGTCCATCTCAGGTGACTGGGGAGGCTGAGCCACTGGGCCTTGTAGGACACTAGCATACAAAGCCATTCTATCAACACAGGGAAGCAGCCAAAATGTGGAGACAAATAAACATGTCACAAATGAAATAAATGGAGGAAAGCAAACTACAGGATATAGAGTTCAAAACCACAGGTTATAAGATTACTCAAGAATCTTCTAGAAACCTCCAATAAATTTAGTGAGATATGAAGGATATGAAAAAGGATATGAAAAAGGACCAATTAGAAATTAAGTATACACTGACTGAAGTAAAGAATAATATACAGAGATCCAACAGCAGACTAGAGAAGCCCAAGAATCAAGTCAAAGATTTAAAATACAAAGAAGCAAAGGACACCCAACTGGAAAAGCAAATAGAAAAAAGAATCCAAAAATATGAAGATAGAGTAACAACTTCAAGTGTACCAGCATCCGAATTATGGGATGCCAGAAGAAGAGAGAGAGCAATATATTGAGAACCTATTTGAAGAAATAGTGACAGAAAACTTCCCCTACCTGGTGAAAGAAATGCAAATCCAGGAAGCTCAGAGAATCCCAAACAAGAGGAATCCAAAGAGGATCACACCAAGACACATCATAATTAAAATGCCAAGGGAAAAAGACAGAATATTAAAAGAAACAAGAGAAAAGCAGTTACAGTATTTACCTACAAGGGAGTACCCATATGACTGTCAGATGATTTCTACACAGGCCAGAAGGGAGTGGCAAGAAATATTCAAAATGATGAATAGCAAGAACTTACAACCAAGATTACTCTACCCAGAAAAGCAATCATTTAGAATTGAAGGACAAATAAAGAGCTTCACAATAAAAACAAGCTAAAGGAGTTCATCACCATCAAATCAGTATTATATGAAATGCTGAAGGGTATTCTTTGAGAAGAGGAAGAAGAAAAAGGTAAAGATAAAAATTATAAACAACAAAATGACAACAAATATATATCTATCAACAAGTGAATCTAAAAATCGAGTAAATAAAAAATCTGATGAACAGAATAACCTGGTGAATATAATAGAATCAGGGGCATAGAAAGGGAGTGGACTGACAATTCTTGGGGGCCAAGTGTGTGGGGGGTGCGGGAAAAGACTGGACAAAAATCGAACACCTATGGACGAGGACAAAGGGGGTTAGTAAGGGCATAGAGTCAAGTGGGAACCAGGTGGAGGAGAGCTATGGAGAGAAAAAAAGAGGAACAACTGTAATAATCTGAACAATAGAGACTTATTAAAAAGAAAAAAGAAAAAAAGAATGATGAGTTCCCAGCTTAACAATTTTTTTCCAGTTCCTTAGAGGTCCAGTCTTGCTCTAAACACTTCTTTCTGCTAGGGATGTTAAAAACCTCCTGATCTTATTATGCACCCTAATAAAACCCCACATTTAGTCACCTGTGATCCCACTCAGTCTGTGAATCTCTTCTGGTAAGGCCATTGCCAAAAGCTGAAGCAGGACAAGTGTATCCACGTGAGAACCACTGCTGTAGAGCCTAAGATCATCGGAAAGCACAGATATTTACATTACGATTCATTAACAATAGCAAAATTAGCCAAAACTGGTTTGGCTCAGTGGATAGAGCATCGACCAGCAGAACCAGGGTCCTGGGTTCGATTCCAGTCAAAGGCATGTACCTCGGTTGCGGGCACATCCCCAATGGGGGATGCGCAGGAGGCAGCTGATCAATGTTTCTCTCTCATTGATGTTTCTGAATTTCTATCCCTCTCCCTTTCTCTCTGTAAAAAAAAAAAAAAAAAAAAAAAAAAAATCAATAAAATATTTTAAAAAAACAATAGCAAAATTACAGTTATGAAGTAGCAACAAAAATAATTTTATGGTTGGGGGTCACCACAACGTGAGGAAGTATATTAAAGGGTCATGGCATTAGAGAGGTTGAGAACCACTGGTAGGGAGATGACGGTGACAGAGGTGTTTAAAGAAGGAAGGGGCAGGGAAGCCAGGATTGCCAGGACCTGCTCAGAAAATGTTTATCAGGTCCAGCAGGTTATTTCAGATAGGCCCGTCACCCCTGAAGCTGCAATCACAGCAGTAGCAGCAACAAAAACAAGGGCTTTGACAGTACTGTAGCGCAAAGCTTTATAGTTTCTTCATTTTTCTTTCATTTACTTAGCAATAAAGCAGTAGTACAGAAAGGTAGAATTAGTGGGATAGGATATGTGTGTGAAAAGTCGAAAAAGGGCAGAGCTTTGATCCTAAAGGAAAAGTTGGGGTAGGGATCCGGAGAAGGGGAGAGAAAGAATACTTTTATTTTGCTGAAAAGAAGGCTGGTATCTGAATCTGGGGGAGGGACTTAACTAGTTCCATACCCAAGATTATCACACAGCCTGGGCAACCCCGCCTAGGCCATTGATTTCCACTAGCCACAAGAGAGTGGAGAGCTCGCAGCCACCGGCTGTGATTAAAGAGGTGGGTGGCACAGGCTGGAGGCAATAGGATCCGTGGTCGTGCGAAGGGGTTGTGCATCGCAGCGGGCGGAACCAATCAGCAGCGACTCCGGGCTCAGGCAGCTCCTCCGAGGCTCGCCGCATTCCAAGTACCGGCTCTGCTGGCTGCAGGCTTTCGCGCCGTCGCCACCGAGGCGCAGCGCCCCCGGGGGCACTGCTGGTGCTGCATTCGGTGCACCACGCACACCCTGGCTGGTGCTGCCTCACGCCTAGGTGCGGACCCTTTCCCAGAGAAGTTGCAAGCCTTGCAAGTGGCCTTGTGGAGGCACTGGGCCGGGAAAAGAAGCTGCGGGAGGAGGAACATAGGTGGGAGGTGGGCAGGCGACTTGCTTTTCAGATGAGTCCCAGTCAGCACCATGTTGGCACATAACCGCACAAAACCACGGAGCCTTCGGTGGTTGCCCATATTATCCGTATTTAAAGATAATCTGGCCTTAAGAAAACTTTCAATTCCCGTCGTAGGTCAAAGAGGGACACACTCTCAGCATCACCTCCTCGGAGTAACACCATGTAAAGCAACCCCAGGTGATCCCCAACTGCAGGGCTCTAGCTCAAGCCCGCATCTCTCTGAGAACGGCGAGGAGAAGCTGGGTCGGCTCTGCCAAGAGCGCCGGGCGCGGGGGTGGGGTAGGGGGGGTGGGGTGGGGGGGGGGTGACGAGATGGCACGCCGAACGTGGCCAACAAAGCGGATTACTGTGGGACTGCACAAACGCAGCCCCATCCGAGGAGTTTTGCCAGGAACGCCGCCGCCTGCATTGCGTCGGACGACCATCTGAAACGTGAAATTCCCGGGGAAGGTCACGGCGGAGGACCTGGCGTGTGCGGGGGGGGGGGGGGGGGGGGGGTCTGTAAGCCACAGGGAAGAAGAAATGGTGGTCTGCTTCTCTGGCAGAAGAAAAAAGCCGTGCTGGCAAGAGTGGGAACTGAACGCAACCCCCCTCTGTGGAACCACCCCCTCACATTTTCCATCTACCTCCTTGCTCCTGCCCTCCCCCGCCCTCCCCAACCTACGCCCGGGAGGGCCAATCGCAGCTCCGCATTCCGGGCGCTTTCTCAGGTTTCTGCTGATCTTGCAGCGCCCAGAAATGGACCGGGCGGACCGGCCGCCGCTCGCATCCTGCCCCGCTCGGCGCTCCTGACGGCTCCCGGCGCGCCGAGGAGCCCTGGCGAGGTGCACTCGGGCCTGCGGGAGGTGGAGGGCACCTGAGAGCCATGTAGACCTCCGCTTTTGCTCGCCCTCCTCCTCCTCTGGGATCGAACTAAGGACTCCCAAAGTGCTCGGAGGGGGCGAGAGCGCCACGGATCGTCATTTGCTTCCGAGCTTCGGGAGAGGGTGGCAGTTTGCTTCTTTTCCGCCTCGCCTCCCCCGGAACTCCCTGCGCCCGAGAGGAAAGGACGGCGGCGTCTCCAGGTGGCTGACAGCCGGTGAGAATGGGCACGGGGAACGGACATTTCCCCGCAGTGGCTCCGAAGAGCGGCTGTCCAGCGGAAGGGGCATAGGACGGGGGAGCGAGGGCGGCGCATTGGCTCCGGCGCCTCTCGGATGCTGCGGCGGCGGCAGCGGCCGCGGCTCCCTCCCGCCCGGGCTCTGCCAGAGCGACCTGCCGCAGCTCCGCTCCGGCTCTCCGTGGACTCAGCACCGCCCCTGCGCCACGCCGGCCGGCCAGGTAGGGGGATCCCCAATTCGGGGCTGCAGGAGCGGGGGCTGCGTGAGATAGGTGGGGAGAGCTGGAGGGGATGGGGGGTGGGGGTACTGCCTGGGACCTGGAGCTCCCCCAGCGCCTCCAGGCGCTTCTTTCCCGATCTCTAGTTTAACGAAGTTGTAAACAGATCGGCTGTTGGGCATTTGGGAAAGTGGGATGGAAGAACCCCAAACTTGGATTTCCGGGAGTCTGTGTGTGCCTGTCTGTGTGTCTGTCCAGCAAAAGTCCAGTTGCTTTCTAGAAAAACCAGGGGTCTTCTGTGCTCTTCGGTGTCTGTAGGTCCGTCCCATCCGAACGCTTCTGATTTTCTACTTCCGTATCACTTTCTATTTCTCTGCAGCGTCCATCGATCGCCCCGCTGAGAGCTTAGAAGGCGGCGGGCGAAGAGGGGCGGGAGGGTGGAGAGCCGAGGAGAAGCTGAGGGGGTGTCAGGAGAGGGGATCTGCCTGCCGAGCTGGCTCTGCACCGGCCCTAGGAGGGCTGAGGAGGGGAGGGGGGGCCTGGGTGACCCCCGAAGCGATGGCCCTGCCCTCTAGGACAGCACTGCGTTAAGGCACCTCGGAACTGGACTAAACACCAACCCTCCCCCATTCCAAATCTCTGCAAAAAAAAAAAAAAAAAAAAAAGGCTGCGCTCTGGCTGCGGGCGGCGAGGGGGTTCCAAACTCAGCCCCAGGCAGAGTGAAGGGAGAGGGAACCAGAAGCAAAGCCGCAGATCTCTGCATCTGCTCTCTTTGAAGCCCGCCCCACCCCCTGAGAGCAGGGGAGACAAGGAGCACTCCGGTGGGGGGGCCGCTGGGGTCCCCCCCACCCCTCCCCTCTCCGTCCTTCCCGCTGCCGCCGGCCTCCTCCTCCCGGCCCCTCACCCCCGCACGTGGCCTCCACCATGACGGTGATGTCCGGGGAGAACCCGGACGAGGCGTCGGCCACCCCGGGCCACCCCCAGGATGGCAGCTACCGGCGGCTGGCCGAACACGAGGACCACGAGTGCTGCGAGCGCGTGGTGATCAACATCTCAGGGCTGCGCTTCGAGACGCAGCTCAAGACCCTGGCGCAGTTTCCCAACACGCTGCTGGGGAACCCCAAGAAGCGCATGCGCTACTTTGACCCCCTGCGGAATGAGTACTTTTTCGACCGCAACCGGCCCAGCTTCGATGCCATCCTCTACTACTACCAGTCCGGGGGCCGGCTGCGGAGGCCAGTCAACGTGCCCCTGGACATGTTCTCCGAGGAGATCAAGTTCTACGAGCTGGGCGAGGAGGCCATGGAGAAGTTCCGGGAGGACGAGGGCTTCATCAAGGAGGAGGAGCGGCCCCTGCCCGAGAAGGAGTACCAGCGCCAGGTGTGGCTGCTCTTCGAGTACCCCGAGAGCTCGGGGGCCGCCCGGGTCATCGCCATCGTCTCGGTCATGGTCATCCTCATCTCCATCGTCATCTTCTGCCTGGAGACGCTGCCGGAGCTGAAAGGCGACAACAAGGACTTCGCGGGCACCGTCCACCGCATCGACAACACCACGATGATCTACACCTCCAACTTCCTCACGGACCCCTTCTTCATCGTGGAGACGCTGTGCATCATCTGGTTCTCCTTCGAGCTGGTGGTGCGCTTCTTCGCCTGCCCCAGCAAGGCGGACTTCTTCAAGAACATCATGAACTTCATCGACATCGTGGCCATCATCCCCTACTTCATCACCCTGGGCACCGAGATAGCTGAGCAGGAGGGCACCCAGAAGGGCGAGCAGGCCACCTCGCTGGCCATCCTCAGGGTCATCCGCTTGGTAAGGGTTTTTAGAATCTTCAAACTCTCCCGCCACTCCAAGGGCCTCCAGATCCTGGGCCAGACCCTCAAGGCTAGCATGCGAGAGCTAGGGCTGCTCATCTTTTTCCTCTTCATTGGGGTCATACTGTTCTCTAGCGCAGTGTACTTTGCCGAGGCGGAAGAAGATGAGTCGCACTTCTCCAGCATCCCCGATGCTTTCTGGTGGGCGGTGGTGTCCATGACCACTGTAGGATATGGTGACATGTACCCTGTGACAATTGGAGGCAAGATCGTGGGCTCCTTGTGTGCCATCGCTGGTGTGCTGACAATTGCCCTGCCCGTACCTGTCATTGTGTCCAATTTCAACTATTTCTACCACCGAGAAACTGAGGGGGAAGAGCAGGCTCAGTTGCTCCACGTTAGCTCCCCTAATTTAGCTTCTGACAGTGACCTCAGTCGGCGCAGTTCCTCTACTCTCAGCAAATCTGAGTACATGGAGATCGAAGAGGATATGAATAATAGCATAGCCCATTATAGACAGGCCAATATCAGAACTGGCAACTGCACCACAGCCAACCAAAACTGCGTTAATAAGAACAAGCTACTGACCGACGTTTAAAAAGCCAAGAAAACAAAAAAAAGCCCCCCCCCCCCCCCCCAGCAGCTTGAAAGACTTAAAAACAAAACAAAAACCCTGGCGACCCATGTCACTCTTTGTCGCTACTTTATTAGTCTTTGAAAGCTCTGTTTAACTGTCAATGCATTACTGCATAGTGGATTTTGGGGATGGCCAACCAGAAGCTTTCAAGATCCATTAAAAACAAACAAAACAAAACAATTTTCATTTTACTAAAAATGGGAAAAGAAAGTGTATTTTATAAAACTGGTTAAAAAAAATTCAGTCCATAAGCTAATCTAGGTAAAATAAGATTCATATGCTTCCCCATACCAAAACATTTGCAATCTTTGGGCTTCTTTAACTTTTTTTCTTTTAACTAAAAACCAGGTGATCACTTAGAAATATAAAATTCAAAGTTGCATGGGACTCCAATAAAAAAAAATCTTTGCAAACTGCACAGAACATTTAAGACAGTGCATCTGATGATACATAATATGACATACCAGCCAAAATGGGTAACGAACAAATGTTATTTTGATCCACTGAACTGCATATTATAAGGTGGAAAAAAAGAAAACAGAATTACTTTAGACTGGTTCACAAAGCACCTTATGGACTTGATGCTGATCCTGGTCTTTAGGGGTTCTCCCCCTTTGTCCCCTTCTCCCTCTGATCAAACTGTTCTCTAAGAAAAAGATAAAAATTAATTATTCATCTGCAGTGCTGCTAAGTTTTTCAACTGCAGGTGAGCCCAACACAGGTCTTGCCTCACTGGTCCTATACCCTGAGCCCTGGCCTCCAGAACTGGATGTAAAACCTTAGCCTCCTCATTGCAAGAGAGCACAAATGGAGTTAAATGTAAGCATGTTTGATTCTGATATTTATTTTACAACCGCATGCCGAGAACGTTAACTCAGACAATAGGGGATAAGCTTACGTTTGAATCGACTCTTCTAAAAATAGGTCCTTTTTCATTTGCATTCACCAAAAGTGCACTCTTTTATTTATTAACTATTTTATTAGCAAATAAAGTACTGTATTTAAGTGCATATGTTAAAGTCAGATGGGAACAGTAACTTTTTGGAGCTCAAAGCATGTTCTCTTATTCAGCATTATGGCCTATTTGATTAAGTAAGGTGTACCTTGAATTAATTAATGCATGATTTCAGTAAAAATTTTTTTAAAAAGCTGCAAGTTTGTGGGATGAAGGGCCCAAAGAAATAATAGGGGTGGGGGTAGGGGTGGGGGTAGGGTGGGGGTACACAGTCAATTTTCCTGCCTTTGCTCAGGGAAATGTCAGGTTTCTGTGCAGGTGTAGGCGGAGAGAGAACCAATATGCCCATTCCTTAAAGGGAAGCTATATGGAAAACTAAATAAGTCATCAAGGTATATATAGCAACACCTAAGAACAAGTATTATTTCTAGCTGAAGATAAACACAAGCAAAACACAAAAAAAAAGGTGCAATACTGCATGTTTTTTTGGTGCATTCTTAAGATGTAAATGAAATGTTTATCTATTGTAAGCATCCAAAGCAGAGCTGATTTCTCTTTGCAGTCATGATTTAAAGTCTGTTCAGACTTTAGCCCTTCCCTTGAGTCACCCTGAAGAAACTTAACCAATTGATTTAATAGTTGCTTAGTGCCTTTATCCTGTACCCACAGCGAACTGCAGAAAGTGCCTCCATTAACACAGCTGAGAAGTTATGTAACAAAGGGAGGAAGGGTTGGGGCACAGATATTTTGCTTTTCCTGTTTCCATCCTCGCTGTCTCACTATACCACTGTGAGAAGACCACACCGTCTGAACCCTGGAGAGGAAAGATCCAGGAGGGTGCTGTTTCTCTGGCCATCCACTGGACTGCATCCCTTTGGCAGCCTGATGTGGGATGTAAAACTGGAACCTGAGACCTAGCTTTGAACTGGACATGAACCATGAACTCGTTTTTTTTCCCTCTCCTCCTTCAGAGCCAAGATAACTTTTTGGGAATTTGTTTCCCATCGAGGGCCACTCTGGACATTCAGGGCTTCCTCAGGTCCGGTGCAGTGCTTTTGTGCATTTCTGTATTCCTCTGTTAGCAACAGCGCTTTCTGGCATCATTATGCATATGGGAAGGATCACTCAGTTCATAATAACATTTCCCAGGCCCTCCCTCCTGGTCCACTCCCTTGAGATATTTCCTATGATCTTCCCACCTGGCAGTCACTCACAGGCTGAGCATCTTGCAGCACCCAGCCCAGAGAGCAGCTGGGACCCTGAGCCTAGCCGAAAGAGAGCCACACAACACAGGCTTCAGGGGCCCACCAGCTGTCCACCATGGAGAGGCACTCACCGCCTTTTTAAGGACACCAACTGGGGATCTTCATTTTGCACTTAGCATGTGGCCACCTACTGCCCTGCTTCTTTTGGGATCTTTCCTGTTACCCCCATCCCTTCTTCACCTTATTCTAGAACTATCCGTGAGGCAATAAACGAAGAAACTAAAGTACCACCCAGGCTGGTTCACTCTGTTGAAAAAAAAGAACATGGATGGTTTTATTTTCCAAGGCTGCTCTGTAAATCTGTAAGACTCATGTAACATCATGGAAGATGAGGAACCAAGGACTGCGCACATCTGATCACTGCATAAACCCTCCCCTGTAATGTTTCCTTCTCTTTTGAATCTTGACTCATCTTGGCTACTCCTTTTCTACCTGCTTCAAAGTCTCCAGTTGGGAAAAAATGCAACTTCCTCCAAAGTTCTGGGGATATCATGATCTTTTAGTTAGACTCTGAGGTCTAGGACATGCAGAGCTTGAAACGCTGCACTCTATCAACAGCAATAATCCGCTCAGTACTGTGGGATGGATGGATGGGTCAGAGGATGAGAAAAATGAGATGAACTTTGGGTGCCTGGTATACCTCTCGTAGTTAGATGCTGGACTGGTGATGCTTCTGCATGTGTGACAGGAAAAAGTGCTGCATGCAGTGAACCTGTTGGCTCGGGACTGGGGATGAGCTGTTGTTATGAATTTGGGTGGTAGGGGGGAAATGAATGCTGCTTATCCATCTGTAGCTCACTGCAACCAAGTCAGTAAGAATGAAGTACAGGGACTATCTGTGTAGCATAGGCATGTGAAGTTTCACCAAGCTCTTACCCCTGCACTGTAATGTGCTGAAATGTTTTTGTAGACCTGAAGGTGCACTTAACAAAACTGCCTATTTAGTAATGACTATCTTTTGGCTTATTTACTCATATTTATTTTGTCAGGCTTTTTTACCTTTCCATCCCCTTCCTAAGTCTTGAGCTTTAATGGCTCATATCCTGAATACTTGTTTTCTCCTGAAGGAGAAGACTTCTGACATGCTGATAGCCATAGCTCAGCTCTTCCGGTGTTTGGGGCCCTAGTTCAATAGGGTGACAGTGGAAGGGCTGGGTCACATCAGGGCTGTTAGCCATCCCAGAATCTCTGAAGTGGTTAACTCACCTCAAGTGATCTGAATTAGAGAGACCAAAGACCTTCATTTCCTGTGTCCTCAGATTTATAGAAGACAGATTGTCACCAGGAAAGGTTTTTGTTTTTGCATCTCCTCTTCCCCATCTGTGCACAGCCCTCCCTCGCTCCCCCTTGAGAGCTGAGTTTCAATTATCAGTTAAAACAGCTCATTGGGAGTGTGTTAGTGAGTTAGCCTAGCAAAATCAAATGAACCAATAGCAAATTCTTTTTTTTTCCCCCTGAAGTATGGCCAATGGACAATCATTTCTCTAAAATAAAATTGTGCAGTAGATTTAGGCTCCACTGTGGTGGAATCAAAGCACCTGCGACATCACAATCTTGACACACTTGAGAGATTTTTTGTGTTTTTTTTTTATTCATTTAAATGGTAAGTGGGAATAGATTTCTTTAAGTAGATATTTGACTTAGTCCATAAGGAACCTTCTTCACATTAGATTTTTCAAATTTCTTAACATCTGATACATCAGTACAAAATTTCCCAACCCTCCCATTTAATACAGGAGACCTCAAAATACATGCTTTTAAAATAATTTTATAACTGATTTTTTCTTGTTTGGAAGATTAGATCAAACAGAAAGTAGAAAGAGAACCTCAGCAGAAAGCTATTTCCCATTTCCTTTCAGGAATGACTTATTCCTGGGAGTGGTGAGAATTGGTGGTTGGTAACCATCCAGAGTATGAAATTGTTAGAAAGAATATAAACCACCAAACAGCCATTTTATTTTCCCATTTTTTTCAAGGAAGGATTAAGTATTTTAATGTGTATGTTCATTTCAAAAAGACAAATAAACAAACTACAGTTTTTAAACCAGACCCAATCCAAATTCACTTGCTATCTCAGGAGGTGGTTCTCACCCACCATGCAATGTATATTGGTACTCGTATTTATACTATGGAATTTCAGGGTATGTGAACATGTCCAGCATGACTCAGGTAAATCTTAGAAGAATGTACATTACTTATCATTTCTATAAAGAAGTGAATAAGAGCTGAGTTAACCAACACTGTTCCATTACCCTGGGTCACTGTGTGAACTCATTCAGGGTATAGGTGTAAGGTTTAGAGGTCTTGGGATCAAATGCTAGTCTCTGTGCTCAGGCAAAATGACCTTAGGCTTTCTTGAGTCCAGTGGGTATAAGGGGAGGAGCTGTTGACCTCAGGACCATTAGTTTTAAGGAGATTAGCCTTGGTCACCATGATTTTCATCTAGGAGCTAACTAGGAGTTTATGGCATGAGACTTCAAAGAGTATAGGAAAGTTTTGTACCATAATCAAAACTTATTGTTTATCAATCAGAGAGGAAGAAATGGTATAGGTTTATTAATCAGAGAAGAAGAAATGGTATAGGAGGAAAAAAACAAAAACACAAAATCCCTTGCATAATATTCCAGGTCAAAAATTGTCTCCTCTCCACACTTCGTAGAAATACTCTTCTCTTCATTGCACTGTGTTATGCAGCAGCTCTAAGTAGACATCATGAGCTCTAGATGACATAGCTCTAATAGTAAAGGTAAAGTATTACCAAGGCTAAAAATAACAATTGAGTATATTAATTTCAAGTGCACCATCAGGACAACAAACCATTAAAGCTGTAAAAGCATTCTTTTATTTCTTGAGTTTGCCAGTTGCTTACCCCTTGAGTTGAGGATGTGTCTCTTGTTCGCCTACTGTGCATCCCCTGCCCTAATTGTCTAATATGTCAGGTAGAGGTCGCTGAATGTTATGAATTGAGAACCTTATTGAAGCGCATAGTTTTCATCTATGCAATTTTACTTGCTTCTGTCACTTTATGATCTGTTCATATTTGGCATCAATTAAAGATAATTTTTATGGATCTTATCAAGGAATATCTTGACTGGTCTTTCTTTCTTTTCTTTTTTTGTCTCATGTTTAACTGGCCTTTTGGGAGCTCTTTTGTGTAGTGTTTCTTTAAATAACAGGATGGATATAGGCCTTATTATCTTTGAAACTCCTAAACTTCCATTTCTTTGTACAAGGAAATATGCAGGGGTTGAATTTTGACAATAAATTCACAATCTGAATTCAGGTAAGATCCCAAGGAGAAGCCTTTGGAATTTGGTTTATGAAAGCAATAGGGACCGAGCTTTGAAAAAGAAAAAAGAAACGAGACTCAAGGGAATAAAGTAATTGATTATATTCACTTAAATTGTTTTTTATTTGAAACTGTATTTTTCATTCATAGCCTAAGCTTTTCAGGAAAGATAATTGTGTGTGTGTGTGTGTGTGTGTGTGTGTGTGTGTGTGTGTATAACAGTGCTGTAGTCTGTCATAAAATATCTTGATGGTTACAATATGGTAATATAGTATTGGAAGTGATTTTAATATAGAAAAACAAAATGATTCCTGGCTGTTCTTTACATGGACTTTTTCCACATAGTTCTTTGTGGTTAACATGTCTTTCTTCCTGGTTTTCTTTCTTTCTTTCTTTCTTAATGACTTGGTATATTTCCTTATGATTCTTCCTGAGATTTAGAAGTTCTCTTTTCTTCCTAGTGAATATCACATTTTATACAATCTCTTTTATGTCAGAGCGAACAGGGTTATATGCTTTATGACAGGTTTCTGTTATATGCCAAGATGCATTGGGGGGCTGGGCTGGTCTGTCATCATGGAACTATGTTGCATTGTGATGGGTTAAAATTGTAAGATTTGGAGATGA